ATCTTGTTATTGATTTGAAGCTTAAGTTCAAAATGGTTAGTAGACCAATTAGCCAAAAGTCACAAGTTTTCCGTTTAACCATTGACAATGTTCAATTTCTAGAGAACCATTTTACTTCATGGCCTTTAACACTTCATACAATGCTATTCATCTTCAAGTCAAAGGTCATAGGGTTTCCTGTTGAACCCACATCAAATTTTGATTGACAAGTATTCAAGAACTTTGTTTTTCTCCATACTAGATACATATCTTTTAATTTTGAGGTCATTCAATGTCTTCCAAATCTTTTTTTAACCCCATCTCCATGTTGCCACCATTTGCCACTTCCTTAGAGTGTTCGGCTGGCTGCCCCCAGAAGCCATTTTGACTGACTTGAATTGACTATTACATTTAAAACATGTTAATAAAGTGCTTAAATATCACCAAAGCATCACATATAATATATCTGTAACAGGAAATGAGGAAATGTATGGCTAGACCAGGAATCAAACCTGGGATCCCTGCTTCACTAGTCAGATGCTCCACCAACTGAGCTACCCAGACTGATATCCATGGCCCAATCCATTGTATAAACTTTAACATTGTAATAAAATATTGCACAAATTATAAATCTGCAATAAACAATATAGGTGAAACTGGGAATAATAAATTTTTCACAGCTGGTTTTGTTTTTTTTTTTTGAAATACGTGTATACCTGTATTAATATAATAATACCATGATATCATTTAAAAAAGGTTCATTAGTTTTTGATTGTTATATGATAGTTGAGTATAGATAGGTAAATTATCTGCATCAGTGATGTAAATATTGTGAATGCTGATTAAACCTAAGAAATGTTTCATAAAATGTCATCAAGACTGAACTAAACTTCTGACATGGTTCAATATTTTATGTAAACAGGACAGGATGCTATTTTTTAGCTCACCTCAACAAAGTTGGGGGAGCTTATTAATACCCTCGGCGTCGGCGTCCCAGGTTAAGGTTTTTGGAGCAGTTTTCTTTTCAAGTTCTTCTATGGCCTATATTAATCAGAGATGCATGGAGGATGCTCCTAGTGTGTTTCATTGTACCAGTCAAGGTTTCAGATGCTGCAATTTCACCTAAAGAATGACCAGGTTAATGTTTTTGGAGCAGGTTAAAGTTTTTGGAGCAGGTCTCATTTCCAAGTAACTATAGGCCCTATATTGACCAAACTTGCATGGATGATACATCTAAGGATGCACACTACTGAACTTGCTTCGGATGCTGGATCTGACCTACATTTTCTAGATGAGTGACTAGGTTAAAGTTTTTGGAGCAGATCTCATTTCCAAGTAACTATAAGCCCTATATTGACCAAACCTGCATGTATGATACGTCTAAGGATGCACACTACTGGACTTGCTTCGGATGCTGGATCTGACCTATATTTTCTGGATGAGTGACCAGGTAAAATTTTTTGGAGCAGATCTCATTTCCTAGTAACTATAAGGCCTATATTGACCAAACCTGCATGAATGATACATATAAGGATGCACATTACTGGACTTGCTTCGGATGCTGGATCTGACCTACATTTTCCGGAAGAGTGACCAGGTTAAAGATTTTGGAGCAGATATCATTTCAAAGTAACTATAAGGCCTATCTGAACCAAACTTGCATGGATGATGCATCAAGGGAAAAACACTCTCAAACTTGCTTCGGATGCTGGATTTGACTTATAATTTCTGGATGAGTGACTAGTTTTAATTTTTGAGATAAGTCTCTTCCCAAGTAATTGCAAGCCCTCTCGGACCAAAATTGCATTTATGTTGCATCTAGGGATGCACACTCTTAGATTATTAGTTTAGTGTGGGACTTTGTCTTACTTAAAGACAACATTCGTTGAGATGGGCTCTGTAATCTCTGATTACCTATGTTTTTAGACAGGTAAATACCACCATTCATATCAGACATGACTTTACTAAATATGGTAACATAACCTCAAGTCTAATACACATAATTGGCTGTTCATAGAGAGCTGAATTTATTTTAGAAATGGGGGAATTTGCCAAATTATTTAGGGTTTGGAAGTCCCAATCCCTTATTCTTTAAGATTTTTACCCTAGATATCTTGAATCCTCAGATATCTTGAAGATTTTTTTTTGGTCCCATTGAATTCGAGATAACGAGGTTTGACTGTATGTTATGGAACATTCTTCTACATCTGAAAACGCATGTTATTAGCTTCTCTTAAGTCTTGTTGACTCACTTGTGCCAAAAGATGAAGTAAGCTTTACTGATCTGAATGTATCTGTTGTCTGTTGTTGTTTCATTATGGTCGCAAATATTTTTTACAATTTCATTTTCACCAGAACCAATGTGTTGGCTTAAGTAGATTAATTTTTTTTCAAATAAAGGGTTTATTTTCTTACAAGGGAGGAAAATCAGGAAACAGCATATAATTTTTTTTCACATCAAAGTATGAAATGCAAATGTAGGGGAGGAGAAATTGAATTGACATGCAAGCTTCCTTGGGTAGTGCAGATTCAACGTCTTGTACAGTGTCCTTCTCTACAATAGCAAGGCCATATGAAGCAATCTTAGGATATATAAATGCAAGTTTAGTTATGTCTGGGCTAAGATTTTTCCACAATATAGGGTCAGAATTTTTCATGTGAAAGATCTGAAAAATAAAACAGCAGGGTTAAAGTAATTCAGGGGAGCTTTGTGGCCCATGACCCTCTTTTATATTGTAAGTTGTCATCCTCTATGTAATTGTGTAAGTGATGATATAAAATCGTTGTTTTCAGCGAGGGATCCTGATTATCATCCTCATGAGGACAGTTCTGAGACTGAATCGGATTCCATGGAGGAAGGTAATTTTTCTAAGATACTGTATGCATCTTTCTATGAACTAGCAGATGGATGTAAAAAATTTGAACAATTTCATTATTTCTTTTCTAGAAGAGAACTTACTGGGGCTCTTTTACATAGTGTTTTATATTTTTCTGCACGTAGAAAGTCACAAAATGATATTGTGAAGAATTGTCTTCCTTACATTTGATGAATCAGATCACAGTGCCCTTATTGTGTGATGATATTGCCAAGATAGTAGATCTCACACAAGTCTTTTAAGATCTCTCAACCAGACTCTAATTTCCCATAGATCTCTGATGCAGTGTCCAGTAAGTTTAGCTGGTCTCATGAAAGTTAACCAGCATGCCTCCTTAATTTTATGTTGCATAATTTTTTCCTATCTTGATAATGATATCTTAGATCTCATAATCATCTCACAGACTTTTCTAATATAATGCATTCAAAACATTTTTTATTCTTTGAAATGCCCCAGAGAGATAATTTAAAGATCAAAGACATTGTTGGCAAAATTTTGTTTCTGCAATCAGTCCCATGGATATTATTTTAGAGAATGCATTCCTTTGCAATTTTTGAGAGACTGTTTTAGGTAGATTTCAAACTTTGAAGAGACAATGATCCTGCCACTGATTGGGCTACTGTTGAAAGATTGTTGAATGTTCTTGTCAGTTTTGCAGTATTTGGCAATCTTTCAGTAGTCAAAACCTCTGTCAAAACCTCTGTGTAAAGGGGATCTTTTGTAAATGAAAGGTACTGGATTTTCCTATTGCTAATCTTTCTATTTTACTTTCCAGCCAGAATTATCTCAGTAATGATGAAGATGTTGAAAAAGTGTCTGATAGTGAAGAAGAACCTTGTGATAGTGAAGGAAGTGAAACTTTTCCAATGTTGGCTGGAGAAAAGAAGAAAATATCTTTTCAAAGCATACAGAAGAACTCAAAAGGAAGTATACAAAACAAAATCCATGCTTGTCTGTATTGCGGAAAGCTCATGGCAAACATTGGCAGACACATTGAACTTGTAGCATCCAAAGAAAAGCAAAGAGAGAAGAAAACTATGGGAAGAGCTTGTGAACAAGGGTGATTTTTCTCACAACATATCTGTAATGGAAAAAGGAGATGGAATGATTATTCCAAAAAAAAAGATCAGAAAAATGTGATGTGAGCAACTTTGTTCCCTGTGAAAACTGTAAAGCATTGTATAAGAAAAAAGATATTTGGAAACACAGCAAATATTGTATTTTGAAGGAAACAAAAGAGAGCAGCAAAAATCCAGTGAAGAATGGTCGTCTGTTGCTACCAGTAAAAAAACTGTCATGATGGATTATTCAAAAAAGTCCTGGTCACCATGAGGGATGATGATATCAGGTTGGCAGTGGAATCTGATTCAAGAATTCTGGATTTTGGAAGAAGGCTTTTTGAGAAACATGGCCATGAGCCTCATAAGTTTCCATACATTTCTCAGAAATTAAGGGAACTGGGTCGCTTACTTTTGGCTTGTCAAGTTGAATGTAAGGATGTGAAGTCCATAGATGATGTTTTAAAGAGCAAAAACTGGGATCTTATCATTAAATGTGTTAAAATAGTGGCCTCTTATAATGAAGAAACTCATTCGTATGGTACACCATCATTAGCCCTCAAAATTGGACACAGCCTGCAAAAATGTGCAAGATATTTGAAGTCCGAAGGAATCAAAGATGAAGACAAACAGAAAATAGACAGAGCGGAGAACTTTTTGACCCTATATAAAACTGACTGGAATAATGACATTTCAGGGCATGCTCTTAGTTCATTGGTTGACAATAGATATAACAAAACCACTTCTCCTTCCAATAGTGAAGGATGTCGTTAAACTTAACCTTTTTTTGGCCAGAGAAGTGGCAGTTGTACGTGAGAATATTGAGAAACATTTTGAACCATGTCTATACACCAGATTAGCCCAGTTGTGTTTGGCCCAAATTATTTTGTTCAATAGGCGGCGCAGTGGAGAAGCTGAACGAATGACTGTGAAAGGATTCGCAGATGCAGAATGTGGAAGTGGTAAACCAGACCCCGTTGTGTTATCAACACTAAATGAGTTTGAGAAGAAACTGTGTTGTTCACACACGCGGGTTGAAATAAAGGGGAAAAGGGGAAGAAAAGTGGCAGTTTTGTTAACAAATGAAATGAAAGAAAACATCAAGATCCTCATAGAACAAAGGAAAAGAGCAAATGTTTTTAAAGATTTGCTGTTCTCTAAACCTGGGGACACAAAATTCCCATACCGAGGAAGTGATTGTCTCAGAAAATTTTCCTTGGAAGCTGGTGTTGAAAACCCCCAGGCACTTACATCCACCAAACTTAGAAAACAACTAGCAACTTTGGCCCAAATTCTGAACCTCAGTGAATCATCACAAGACATCCTAGCGACATTTCAAGGACATGATATTCGAGTTCATAGGCAGTTTTATAGACTACCTGATGATACAATGCAACTTGCCAAAGTTTCAAAAATCCTACATAGCTTGAATAATGGTACAATTGCAAAATACCAGGGAAAAGACTTCGATGAAATCCAGTTGGAAGCCAAAGGTAGATATATATCATGTATATCCACAACTTTTAATTTAATTATTAATAATCAATTGAACTAGTATGATTATACAGAGCTTAATATTCATTGCATGTAGGTCCAGTAAAAGGACCCCTTTAAATTGAAGATTGATTTTTCACCCAAAAAATTAATGCATAATTCCCAAACTAAAAATGTTGTGTAGAAAAAAAAAACATGCAAAAAAGTACTGGCTAATGGAAGAGGCATGTAGCAGTAATGTATACTTATAAATGTAGCAGTAATGTTCACTTTTTTGTAGCGCTTAGGTAATGGCTATTAAAATGTCCATGCATCTGTGTGTCTGTCAATTTGACTGAAGACATGATTTTGTCTGCACATGTTCCTAGAGAGAACTACATGGCTTTGCCTGAAAATCTGTAAACTTATTATTTACCATAAAAAGATGTAAAGATGTGCACCTGGTATTTTTATTTTGATTGGACAAGTTCTCAGCATTTCACAGTATTTTATTTTTTACTTGGTCATTTTTTGTATTTTAATACTACAGGGCCTAAAAACATTGTCAATTGACACACCTTGGTTGACAATTGTCATGGTAAAACTCTGTCAGACTCGTAACTGAAAAATTATTTGACTTAAAATCATCAAACTTGGTCAGCTAGTATATATATGCATCTTTGGTAGAAGGTATGTTACATCCTACCTTAAGGTCAATGTGACTTTTGATTAAAATTAAGAATAAGTTATGGCCAATTATGTCAAAACCCTTTTGGGGGCTCATATTGATTCAAGTAACTTTATCAGTGCATATGTAGAAAATGTTAATTGCAGATGACAACCAGGCCATTAAAACTATCCAAGGATTCAAGATATACTTAATCATGGTAAAAGAAAATGTGGTTGGGATTTCCAAATCACTTCAATGATTCAAGATATTGATGTTTGAGATACCAAAGTTTAGCTGTATATCTATATATTTTTAATAATGATGACATAAATATGCAGTTAAATTCAAAGCAAATTGTTCAAAGTATTACCAATAATGGAAGTATAATGATATATTTTAATGTGAACACATACACTAGTGATATTCCAAATTAGAAAAAAATGTCAATCCTACAAATTCTGCAACTGCTAGAAGGATATGTTGTTTCTTGAAAAACTTTTCTGACACTAGAAAAGAAAGCCAAGTACAATGATTTCTTAAAAATATGTGAATATACATTGGGTTATCAAAAAGTTTGTGACTGAATTATTTTATTGGATGTGCATATAAAATTAATACAGAACATAAAACAACAAAAGTTTAAGAAGTACTGAACATTTTATCTTGAAATGTTGATAATTTGCCAATTTATAATCAAATACAAAAGACATTTGAGAAATAAATTTAATTTTTGAGAATTCATGAGGACATAAACAACGATGCTTCACGACGGCGTATTTCATGAAGTCATTCAACGATCATTTTTGGGAAAAAGTTTGCATTTCAATTAGGTCACAAACGAAATATTCTTACTCGATCATCCCATGGTAGTTCATGAGAACATGAACTTTTTCTAATTTGCAAAGAATCTTAAGGAAATATATTCGGAAATGTAAATATTATGTGATAAACTGGCGCTGTTACGGTTGAGTTTCATGACGTTTCACAACGTCATAGTTTTTCAATAACCTTTCATTGAATAGATACACTGAATGTTAAATACTGACTAAAACTCATCTTATTTATATGATTAAACATTTCATGAACAGCTGATTTCAAAATCCAATATTGAAAATGGATATGTACAAAAGAACAAAAGATCCTCACTTGATTTACGTACCCGTAGCTATTAAATCCCATTCGTTGAAGTATTTATATTCTTACTGCATATGAGCAATGGTACTTTTTGACTTTGTACACCTCCTGGACTGTGAATCAGTGTTAAATGCATGTCTCCTCTCTAAATCTTTTGTTCCATTTAAGAACAGGTAATCTGGATTTATTTTGTCTCTGTCCTGTCTTTTCAAACATTTCCAAAGTCTATATATGCTAGTTTTTTTTTTTCCAAAGAGAAACTACGTATAAAATTGTGTCTTAAAGATAAATACACAAACCCCTTTTCAACCTCATTTCAACACTATTTTTTCAGTACTTTCTAATGAATTTACAATTAGGTCTTATTAAATTGATTAAATGAGGTAAAGATAATAAATTTAACATAACAAGTGTGTCACATAATCATGATAATGCAAGTGAATTAATTACCTGTCAACCTGAAAATTGGATAACAAATGCTCACATCAAGATTTATCTTATGGTAGAAATATGCCTTATTTAGAGGTTGTGCTGCATAGTCATACAAATACATATCAAAACACAGACAATTAATTCATAGATAATCCATATGTCTTGTAGTTTATTCTGTAGACAGAAGAGATGGTGTTGAATGAATGCATTAAAATTCATTGATTTAATACCTTGAGCTGTTTTTAGCCGGGCTCCATAGTGTAAGCTATGGCCCGGCTTATGGGATCGCCTATCAGAGCGTATTAATCCAGATGGTAGCCCAACAACTGCCATTATTAACATTACCTGTCTCTACCATTTACGCTTTTCAAATTAGATCAGTTCCCGTTTTCAAATAATTCATGATGATGACGCTTTGTTAAACTTCTCAAATGTTCATATATCAGAAACATATAGTTTTCTGATGTCAGGCAAGCTTTTAAAGAAATTAATACCTGTGTGAGAGTGAAAGTAACCTATGCTGCCATATGTACACACAGGCAACATGCGACACACAATCAAAATATTTTTAGCCTGATAAGACAGCCTCTGTTTAAAGAATGAGGGAAAACTTCACCACCTTGCCACGCGTGCATATTAAAGTATATGCGCACTTGCATCCTTGTACTAGGTGGATGTTGCGATACTTAGCATATTAAATTAAAATTTAAAAAAAAGAATAAAAGGAAAAATAATCACAGATGACAGTAGTATTGCGAACTGCAAATGGAAAATATCAGAACAAAATAATCTGGAGAATGTTGTTCCAGTTAAATCAAATGTGAGTAATGTAATGCGATATCCTGACCCTGAGGTTATACATTGTTACATTGTTAAAGAGATGATTAAAAAAATGCTTTTCCTGTGTTAAAAAAAACCTTTTTAAATGCATTTAATAATTTATCACAAAATGATATTACTGAACTTCTTACGTCGCAGTTATTTCTAAACCTGTACAGGTCACTAGTTTATAAATAAGCCCGGCTCTCTGTACTCCTGAGTACTTTGATTATTTTATGGTACCAGCTAGTCCACAAACATTTTGCTAACCCAGCTTTGTACATGTATACAGTATTTTGGATTTTTTTACCTCATGTTTGTTACTTTCAATATTTAATTTTGAAAATTAATAGTAATTGAATAATTAATAGTAATTTTTGCACAATTTGGTAAGTTTTAACTTTTAATATAAAAATTTTCATTCTATTAATATTATTAGAAGCTGTAGAGAGTGAAAGTGACAGTGAGGCAGAGCTCAATGAGAGTGTGTATGGCATTGCTGAGGAGGAGAGGGAAGAGGGAAAAGATATAAAAATAGGTAAATATTAGATTTTTATGATTCATAGTTAATTTTCACCGTGTACAATCAAACAACGACTGATATCTGGATATATACTTGTCATCATTATAGGTATTCTATAAATTGAAAATTGTTTGAAAGCCGAAAAATCCTAAATGATCAGGTTGGCTGATATTTTTAACTCTATACTCATGGTCAGAGACAAGAAGGGCTTACTAAAGTGGCCATTGTCCATTTGTCTGTCTATTGCACACACACACACACACCCACACACACACCCACACACACACACACACATATATATATATATATATATATATATATATATATATATATATATATATATATATATATATAAAAAGCACTAAAAACCAACAACACTGTATATCCGAAGTGTCGGATCTACTAAGTAGATACAAGGTCACGGATGGAAATTTATATAAAGCACTAAAAATGACCAACGACACGAACAATAATAATTGTCAAATTTTCGGGACAACCTGTCCCTTCCTCAGGACAAAGAAAAAAGTTAAGAAGTCATAAAAACAAAGGAAATAGAGAAGCAAAAACAACTAGCACTACTACTAAACTACCAAACACTAAATATTTACAAGGTTACATGTTTAATTTGGAGTTTATAAACAGTTGTGAAGAAAGAAATCCGGAGTGCTATGAATTGCGTCCGGTCTATCGGGTGTACTCGGTGAAGTGTGATTTACATAATTGAACGAATTAATTATCGCTAATTAATTACGGCCAACAGTAAATCGTACATTGTCTTATTCTCTCAAAATAGCGTAACTCTACATGATAAAAAGAAATTAAAGAAAGATAATATGGAAGGACAATTTTGAAATATGAATTTGGATATATTATAAATTTGGAAATCGGAAAAAAAAAATAAACAAAAATGTGAGCTGTAAATATTTGGGTAGGTTGTTCCAGGATTATTAATACGAATTAACGGTAAAGTTTACGCTATATAGAGAGAATGAACTTGTTTGTTACAATTCGGGATTGGGTCTAGTTCACGTTCATCCTGGTGAAGTCATTAAGTTTGTTAATACCATTAGGGCGGAATGACTTCAGCCTGTGCATCCAGAACTTTTCCTTGCCTTTTCTCTGCGCGTCTGTCCATCTTGGATTATGGTCAATAACCACTACTGTCATGTCCTCCCATTTGTGACCTTCAAGGTTGAAATGTTCCCCAACGGGTTCATTGAGTTTTTTGGTCCTAATGGTAGAACGGTGATTATTGACTCTCCTGCGGAGATCTCCTGTTTCACCAACATACTGTTTGGAGCAAACTTTGCAGCTGATGAGATAAATGCAGTTGTCTGTTTGACAGGACAAATTCCCTAGTATTTTGTAGCTGCGGCCTGTAACGGGGCTGTTAAAACTGTCTGTGTCAGTGCTGTACTTACAGAGAAGACATCTTCTGTCAGAGCAAGTTTTAAAGCCCCCGTTAGGTAATGGATTGTCCAATCTGGTTCTTACTACCATGTCCTTCAGGTTCCTCGGGCGCCTGTATGCAGCCAATGGGGGCTCCTTAAAGACCTCTGCCATTCGTTTATTTGAGTGGAGAATTGGCAGATTCTTTTGAAGGATACCGCTGAGGTTCTTAAGGACGGGATGGTATGTGGTTACCAGAGGGACCCTGCCGCTATTGTCTTTTTCCTTGTAGCGTAATAGGTTTTGCCTGTCATGTCCCGCCATCTCATCAATAGCAGTTTGTACGGTGCGGGCATTGTAGCCTCTCTTGCATAAGTGGGACTTAAGGAGACCGCTTTGTTCTTGATATAAGGCAGGGGATGAACAGATGCGCCGAATTCTGGTGGCTAGACCCTTAGGCACACCCTTAAATGTGTGTGGGGGATGACAGCTAGTTGGCATAAGATACAGATGGGAATCTGTGGGTTTCGTGTGGAGACTGAACTCGATTTCACCATCAGTCAGGGTAGATGTAGTATCTAGGAATATGTTTTTCGAATTAGATACGTCTACTGTAAATTTGATAGACTGATGAAAGGTGTTGGCGAACGAAATGAATGCCTCGAGGCTCTCGCGACATTCCACCCACTTCATCTCTATATCGTCAATGAAACGCAACCAGCTAAGGGGCCTAAATGGTGCTTGAAAGAGCAAGTTGCGTTCCAGTCTGCCCATGAAAATATTGGCATAAGATGGTGCCATTTTCGTACCCATAGCAGTGCCATTAACCTGCAGGTAATGTTCTCCATTAAACATGAAGTTGTTATACTTGAGAACATGTTCAAGGAGCTTGGCAAGGGACTCGGTAGAAGGAATTTGTATGGATCTACTATCCCAGACTTCTCTACAGGCTTCGATACCCTCATCGTGCGGAATATTGGTGTACAAAGATGTGACGATGAGGGTATCGAAGCCTGTTTTTGTGCTATTTGCCCATGGTGAAATAGTCATTAAACTATTCACTGGCAGCATTCTGTTTCCCTTGCTTTTCATCTTGGAACTCTTCTGGTTTTATCGAGATTGTGACGTAACACAAGTAAAGACTGCTTCGGTATAATAAAACACCTATTTACTGACTATTCGGACAATAGCAAGTTTATCGTCCCCCTCAACAGCAACTGTTTCCCTCGACTGCGCCTCGGGAAATAGTTGCTGTCTTGGGGAACGATAAACTTGCTATTGACCTCATAGCCAGTAAATAGTTGTATATTATATATATATTTATTACATTTCAATAGTGAAATATTGTGATTTATTTATTGCATAAAAGTGATATTCTCTCACAGTATGAAAGGATACCAAAATGATATTCTCTCACAACAGATGGCTCATTGATTGATTAATTGAATACATCTCCATGGGAAAAAAAAACTCAAAAGTCTGCTATTTCAAGCAGTGGCATATCACCAGCTTGACTCCAAGACTGCAATATTGAAATTATTTAAGAACATTAGTATTCAATTTTTACAATTTGCAGAAACCTAGCACAGTATTTCACAAGACAATTAAATTTTCTTAGGTTCATTGGAAAGATATTTTGTTTCAGCCAGTTATTCCAGAATTAGACCACACTTCATAAAAATCTTTTTAGAATGCTTGTATCTCCTGTTTTGAGAAATGAAATGACTTGTTGATAAGTATATAAATTGATCTTTTGCTCTTTGAAAGGCTCTTCAAAGAAACAAACAACAGAAGAATACATGACAAGGAAACCTGAAAGAGGTTTGCATTTATTTTTAAACGGTTTCTACACAGACACATATAAACACAATTTTATATTCAGTAGAACTTTGTTATCTCAAACACCCTAGCTCTTGTAAAAGGGATATGTCAAAGAGATATTGCAATCCCATCAACTTGATCTATATAATTTTTATCCTTGCTTTATCTGGAAATCTCAAATCCTTGGATAGCTGGAAGTTTAATTATTGTTTAAGTTGGAGTTAACAAGGTTCAAATGTATGTGTATACCTTGCAAATATTTTCAATATTACTCTAATAGCAGGGTAGTAATCCAGCAACAATAAATAAAATTGTTTGCATGGTCAACTAAAAACAATTTTCTTTTGTACAGTACCAAATATATGTCCACGCCATCAGTGGACAAAGGACGAGAAAGCTGCCCTTTTGCGCAATTTCAAACAGGCTATTTCCTTACAAAAAACGCCTGGTCAGCTGGATTGTTTAAACGCCATAAGAAAAGAACCATGCTTAGCTACATTTAATTGGAAGCAGGTAAAATTTGCTGTAAAGAATCTCATAACATCGAAAAAAGACAATTAAAGAAAATGACTAAACAAGTGTAGATTTCATTGTAAAGGGTGCATCTCAGCTATGTTGAGGAGGCCTGATCATTTCATATTTGTGAGGCACCGTGTAGAAAGTATCATTGTAATGCATTTGAACTTTAATAAGTAACAATATATTACATCCCATAATGATGTATAAAATAAAAGTTTGCATGCATTTGTTATGCCCCACTATGAATATGGCTGGGGCATACAGTGTTTGTTATGATGACCAGATGATTGACCAGGTTAAAGTTTTTGGAGCACGCCCATCTAAGTAACTATAAGCCTTATGTGGACCAAACTTGCATGGATTATGCATCAAGGGATGACACTACCACACTTGCTTTGGATTCTAGATCTGACATACATTTTCCAGATGAGTGACCAGGTTTAAGCTATTCAAGTTCATCAACATTTTTTGACCTTGAGCATTGCCTTCCTTAACATAGCTGAGATGCCTAAAAATCTATTGAGAAGTATAACTTGGATAGATGATGTGAGAAATTTAACTAGAGATACTTGGATAGATAATTTGAGAGATGTAACTGATATTGATGATGTAAGAGATGTAACTTCAATAGATGATGTAGAAAAAGTTACTAAGAAAGATGATGTCAGATATGTAACTTTCTTTAATGATGTAAAAGATATAACCAAAACAGATAATATATGAGATGTAGTTTGGATAGATGACGTAAGAGATGTAACAGATAATGCAAGAGATGTTACTTGTATGTAATGATGTAAGAGATTAAACTTAAGGATAGATTATGTAAGAGATGTATGTTGTAGAGCTGATGAACGAGATGTAACTTGATTAGATGATTTTAAAGATACATGTAAGATATGATGTATGAGGTTTTACCTAAATAATGTAAGAAATGTATCTTGGAAAATGTAAGAGGTATTTTTTGATAAATGATGTCAGATGTAATTTGGATAGATGTAAAGATGTAACTTGGAGAACTGATACGAGAGATGATAATTGAATAGATGATGCAAGAGAATTATTTTGGATAAATGATAAAAGAGATGTAACTTGCATAGATGCTGAAAGAGATGGTATTTAGTTAAATGTTGTAAGAGATTTAACTTTGAAGCTTTAAGAAATGAAACTTAGAAATATGATGTAAAATGTAAATTTGGAAATATGATGTAAGAGATGTAAATTCGATAGAGATGTTACATGTACTTATCTTAAATGATGTAAGGTTAAGTTAGATATTTGAATGTAAAAGATGTATCTTGGATACACTGTAGATGATGTAAGAGATGTAACTTTATTCTGTAGATGATTTTGAAGATCAGATATAAGAGGTGTTACCTAAATGATATAACAGATGTAACTTGGAAAACATAAGATTTTTTTTTTTTTGATGAATGATGTAGGAGATGTAACTTGGATAGAGTTAAAAGATATGCATGTAATTTGGAGAACTGATATAAAAGGTGTAACTTAAATAGATGATGCAAGAGATTTAACTTGGATAACTGGTAAAGAAATGTAACTTAGATTTTGAAAGAGATGTTATATATATAGATGTTGTAAGATATTAAACTTTGAAGTTTAAAAAAAAATTGAATTGGAAAGATGATGTTAGAGGTGAACTCAGATATATACTTTTATTAGCTGATTATGTTACAGTTATAACTCGGTGAGATAATGTGGGCGATGTAACTTCGATATATGTCTTTTACATTCCTTATTTTCTAAAACAAAAATATATTTTGCAGTTTAAGAACAGTTAATTTCTAATCTGTAGTTATGTTAGTAAGATGATATCAAAGTTATTAAATTGTACAAGAATTGACTTTCACAATCTTGATTAAATGTGGAATTGTTTACAGCAAATTTTAAGAATCAATTACTTCAAACAGGTAATATACCAATACATTGTAACTTTTTTCTAATTTGAATGCTTGGTACAATAAAGCTTTTAGTATGAGTATTTGAGTTTTCAAATGGCAAGTACATCTGACTAACCTAAACTGGAGATAAGTTATTAAATGGTAATGGTGATATTTTACATATTCCGATGAAATGGAATAAGGAGGGAAAATTTAATTTTGTCAAATCCGTGACCTCTCCTTTCATCTCATCCCCAAAAATTTGGCTGCATATTTTCAAAGACATTCCATTATTTAACGAGTTCTTCATTTGAATTACTGCATGCAACAACTGATTTATAATGTGCAACAATTAATGGTGCACTTTAAATAAATGAAGGCACATTTGATTGGGATCCTGCAGAATCTGGGCACAGTTGAAATATGAAAATCTCATTGATCTGTCACTAAACATTTTAGCATTCTTTTTATATGTCAGGTTTCTTTGAAATAGGAAATGGAAATGTGCCTTAATTTGTTCAAGGATGCCTTGAAATATGGCTAGATATTCAGTATAAAAAAAGGACAATGATGTTCAGTTCAATTTATTGGTTAAAACCAAAATATTGGTACATGGGGTACAATATTACTAATAATGAATACATTTTATACAAACTAGTCAGAGGTGCAAGACAAAAACATGACAAAAAATGTATTAAAAATGAGGCAAAAAATCAAGGAGAACAGACAACATCACAAAAGTTCTTTTTTCCTGATATATATAGGTTTTCATTCCATTTTAATAACATTCAGATATATCATTTTGATAACATTCAGATATATCTTTTTAAAAAAGATTATCTATCTATCTATATCTATCTTTTCTTTCTTCCATTCTTTCTTTCTTAAAAAGTGAAAATCATCAGGAATTTTAGCTTTTGAACAAAGTGTCAAGCATACCATCCTCCAGTTTTTACTTGAAGATGATTTGCTGTTCAAAATCTCGAAAGTATTTTTTGTAAAGAAACGGGTGGAAGGGGGGGGGGGGATAAGCTAAGTCATCTTTCTACAAAACGACGCATAAAAATCTGACATTGGATCATATAACTACATTTTTTTAATAGAGTTGACCATTGCTCCATATTTTGAGAAGGGATAATGAAAGACCATTGAAAGATATTTCATTTAAGACTTGCAGAAATCTGGAAGTAAGACCCTCTCTGCATAAAAAATGAAGCTTAAGTGTAGTTACATGTATTAAAAATTTCAACGTGGTTTGAAAATATTTTAAGTCCAGGCCATCTCTAAAAGAATGTTTGTTTGCCCTCTCCCGACTCAGGGTAAAAAAAAAATAAGTCGGTGGTAAGTTGGGATTTTTTTTTCAGGGGTAAATTATCACATACTTGTTGACGAGATGAGAAATTTCTGGGGAAAAAAGGTATTTTTTTTAAATAATCATTTCTTGCAGATTAAACAAGTTCGAGTCGGGCCATTTTTTGCCAGTCCGTCGGGAGAGGGCAAACATTTTTTTTTTAAAGAAGGACCTTAATAGACTCCCTAAATACAGAGAACTGTTTGCTGTTTAAATTACCATATCTATTTGACTGCGTGGTGTACGTAGTGTTCAGCTAGGAGCTGTTTAAAGGGACATTTATTTAGGACAGTGTTCGAATCAGGCTCTTATGTTTTCATTTTTTTTTTTAGGAGGGCGAGGGTAGTTGAAATGCTTCCATAGGAATTAAACATTTTCCACTGAAAATAGAAAAATATGCATTTGATAACCCATTTACAGGAAATTATTTAAAATGCCAGATAAGAAATTATAATAAATATTGGAATAAGTGTATTCCCGTTTTTATCTTCTTTGTTTTTTTTTTACTGCAAGCGCTGAAAAAACAGAAGATCACCACTATCGTTACATATACATTAATAATTAGTGCACAATACGTGTTATAATGCTTAAATATACAGATCACAAAGTAAGAGTCATCACCGGTGATAGACATTGTGGAAGAAAGTGCCAGGTTAACCCTGAATAAACTCTTAAATAGGCATTTTTTTCCATCCTTGTACGACTTATTTCATTCCTGATCGTCTTTTTCCTCCATATTTCTTTGATTCCGCCATATTCATTAAGGTACCTGTACCCGTTATATAAACTCTTATGCATTTTTTTCACTTGAGTGATTTTCTGGCCTGGCTTTACACATCTCCGATAGCATAGTTTTTGGGCACACATGAAATGACCAAATACCCGTACAAGGCCATGTTTTGAATATAAAAAAAAAATCAAACCAAAACTACTTAGAAGTAAATAAATGATACGCGGTATTTGCATATATCATGCATTCATGTACAATAAATATAAAGCTGTTTAGATACATTGTATACATGTATGCTTCCCGTACATGCATATAAAACAGCCACATTGCCCAAAGTGTATATATTTCTGTGGGCAGAGTGGGGCGGTAAAATAATTGGCAAAATAAGATTTGAGAGAAATGTCCGTTGTCAACGAACTTACAGATAAGTAGTCAGGTCAATTACTTAAGGGTAAAATACTTGTAAATAACATCAGGTGCCTGTGCCTGAGAAATGCGTGTATTCTGCTTAAATTCTTTCAAGTCATGTACCAAATTATTTTCGTATGTCAAATTACTTGGTTTAGTTTTGAGATAGTTACAAAAAAAATAATCGGTTAAAAATTAATAAACATAATCTGCAATGCAGAAAATTTGTTATGTATTAATGAAAAATATTAAAACTATATAATCCAGAAAATTCAGAGTAGAAATGTGAGAAAGCAAATCCAACTTTCCAGTATTGTCATTCTGTGCTCAGTGATATTTGCACTTTACAAATTGAACACATGCGATGAAACATAAACATTATAAATAACAGAGCTCGTGCCCTGTTTACAGAAACAGTTTACGTTTCACGGGTGTGTTCAATTTGTTAAAGTCTGTTAAAGTTTTCTACTTTTCTTAAGTATCAAGGATAGAGTTTACTTTGTGAAAGTGCAAGAATGTGTCAATCAAACGCGTTCCGAAATTTGTAGTTTCAATACTTTACAGTTAAAATGTTTGTTTTAATATATATATATATTTATTTATATAACATGTATCAAATAAATTTCGAAAGTCGTTGGATTCGTGAGTGTATGGC